CCTACTAGGGACCTTAAGCAAACCAAGACGGCGACGGCAATGAGAACGTGGAAAAAGAAAAGATCTAATTAGCAGAACGTACGTTTTAAAACTAATTAGCAGCACGTACGTTTTAAAACTTTGTACATTTCTTACCCGTCCTTTGCAAAACAACAACGGGAAATCACCAAAATTTGCGTCATCTACGAGCCGAAACCGCGACGGCAAATTATTTTAATTTCCATTTGAAACTCAACGCTCCTTTTATGCGTTTTGTTGAGGTTGAGGTGTGGCGCCATAGGAGACGGTAAACACATATGCCACCATTTTCCAAATTCTAATTAAAAGAAGAAACTAATTTTTTAATCGACGTCTTCCTTAGCGTTGCCGTCCTGACTGCTTAAAGTCCCTACTTAAAAATTTAGTCATTTCACGTGGTTGTTTTTCAGATGACGCAATGAAATTTTACAAAGATTTAGAACGCACAAGCAAAGCCATTGTTTAGTGACATTCCCGCTGCCGTTGCCATTGTGTATTTCCTAAACTCCCGAAGGTTATAAAGCCTTCGCAAAGCATGATGAGTATGGTACACCGAACGTTCAGATTCAAATAGAAATGAGTTTTTAACGTGATGGTCTTTACAATGAGATGGACAGATCAGAGGCGTTGTGATGTTTGAGTTTTTGACGGCGCTGTGTGAGCTTGAAAATCAGAAGCCTCGGTTTTTAATCAATTTCCTTGACTAATTCGACTTCTTTTTTGTTCCTTTACATCATTGCAATTGTCATTGAAAAGACCCAAGCCTACTGTTAGGGAGCTTTGGTTTGTTAGTTCACAATGGAATGATTAGCTTTCCACTTATTTTGATGGTTATACCTTCGTCGTTTCACGTTCGTCGTTTCCGTCGTCAACAAAACGATTTTTATCGATGATTTTCTTCATCTGCTTTTTTTTCTCCCTAGTAAACAAGCCTCATCTACCAAACTGTAATCAATTGAAAACTTTCAAATAACAAAGTAACGCACAGAGCTAATACCATGCAAATTACATTAAAAAAGTGCGTACAGTGGGTAAAAGCAGGCACCTTCTGGTAGTCACTCATATCAGGTTCCAGAAGTCAATAGGACCACAGTGAATAGACAGGTAGCTTTGAAACCTAAATCCAGTGATTTATGATTTTGTATTGGCAATAAAAAGTGTTATTTTATGCATTTAGTTACCTACAATACGCTGATGTGTCTCCATTCGCGTTTTGCCTGAAAGGGTCATTTAATATTTCTTTGTATTTGCAATGACCTTTCAGTCCATGAACCTTCGGAAAAACGCTTTCAAAATCCCAAAAACGCACTTAACTCAATTCTTCTATAATGGTTTACCAAATTTAAACGTCCACTTTGCTGAGGAAACGAAAAAAAACTAAACCATGAAACGCTCATGAAACTTAATCGTTTTGTAGTTTCGACCAAGAGTGACATTTTTTCTGGCTCTTGCTGATCCGTTCTCCGTCAAGTCATGGCTATGTTACTATGATTATCGCTATTTTAACTGTTTTATTTGCTTAAGACTTAAAGCCGGTTAATCAGTGTAAGATCAACATCTGTGAGTGTTTTCTAACTACACAGTTTTTTTCTAATTAACTTAGGCCTTAAAGTGTTTCAGATTATTTATCACACGGTCATATATATATATATATATATATATATTTATTAAAAACTAGATCAATGGATAATGCAATTCAAGACTTTTTATTGGCTTAGCCATTATGGTATATCAGCCAATATACCATAATCTACAAATATGGCAAGCGTACGTGTCAGATTAAAATTAAAATGGAGCTAAAAATTGAATAAAATTTAATTTAATTTAACGTTTTTAATAAAACAATTATTCCACTCGCGCTTGTTGGATATGAGATGATTATAGCCAACTCGGCGCTACGCGCCTCGTTGGCTATCTATCATCTCATATCAAACGCGCGCTCGTGGAATAATTGTTAAATATATATATATATATATATATATATATATATATGCCGCTATCTCACGCAGGGCATAGATGTGGCATCAACTCCTAAAGTTAAGAAAACACAACCAAATTATGAATTAAGTGCATAGTTGTTTGGTAATAAATATCAGACAAGGTAAGAATGAAAGTTACAGTAATAATTAACCATTGAGAGGATACTGAAGACGTTAAAGCAGCCATGGTATATAAAAGAAGAAGGCTTTTTGAACCACGACTCTTGGTGATTTCTACTCAGCGAGTTTGATGTGGCTAGGTTATCCCCTAACTTGCAAACAAACTCTTTCGTAAAGGTTAAAATACGAGAAAGGCACACAATGTGGTCTTTATGGGGTAGAAAACGTTGCCCCCTCTATGAAAAATTCATCCTAGCTCAGTTTGTTGTTCTATACTAGTCCGAGACACGCCCAGCTCGGTGTTGTGTGTAGAGAGCTTATTGGCAAATGGCTTGACGAGGAAATTCATCTTGTCAGCAAATGCGCCTTCCGCTTGAATGAGCACAGACTAATCAAATGGAAAGTTACTGAGGTGTGAAAACAGGTTGTGGAGAGGTCATCCTCTGAACACAGTAATCACCTGTTGCTTCAAGCAATTATGTTATCACGTTTACAACACAGGTAAGAAAAACTCAGTGAAATTTTTCCCATTTTGCGTGAAAGGTCCCCATAAATTTAAGACCAAATTTTCACATTTACAGACACAGACGGAGCGCTGGGTGGTTCATATGTGATAACTTTCGGTAAAAAATTGAACACTGAGTTCAGTTAAGCGAAACATGCAATACATGCATATTATAAGGCGATGGGAAATAATGGCTGTTCGTATGGGATAACTGTAGAAATCTGAACGCTTTGTAAGGCTAAGCAATAGATGTCGTTTATTCGCACTAACGGTCAACACTCCGCTGAGTATGGAGTATACAGCTCTTAAAAAAAACATAATAAAACATCTTGAAATGTCAACTTCAAAATAAGAGCAATTGTGACGGTATCTGACAACTGAAGAGTCAGACGTGAATGACCTTTTATGATGATTGGCGATTGAAGCGTTCCAGTTTCAGATTTTCCATTTAGTTTTAAAACAAAACTGTCAATTCAGTGTATATGTATGTATGTATGTATGTATGTATATATATATATATATATATAACTGCAGACAGTACCGTTTCGGCCTTCTGGGCCTCATCAGTGCAGTGCTGATGTAAGGATGGGGGAGAACCGACATTGTTACCCCGAACGATCCCATTATTGCTTTAATCGAAATTCAGGACGGCCCTAGTTTCCTTTGGAAATTTCTTAGGGATATTTTCTCAATATTTTGAGCCTGGGTTATTTTTGTTTGTGGTTTTCGATACACAAATCAGTCTGAATCACGAGACATTTAGAAAGTACGTCGTCACCTGAATTTCACGATTGAAAGCGTTTTGGATAGTCTATTGAGCAATCAAAATACCCGCATAATCAAATTGGCCAAGGAGTTTCCTCTTCAGCGAAATATAATTACCCTTAAAGTCTCAAGTGACTTTGTGTTACCTAAACACCTATCGTTTCGTTGAAAATCTTCCTTCAATTTTTCCGCTAAATCTTTGTGTGTAAAAATGAAGGCAAATCTTGACGTTTTTTACGCTAATTATATTTGTCCATAATAAATCTCGTTTTCATGCCTCTTGGGTAAAAACCAATTGAAGCGATTTAAATTAGGGGACAAATATGTATTTTTAGACCCCAGGAGTTTGTTTTCCGCGAAAATTAGGCCACAAACTCGACTAAGTCGAAAATAAATTTCTTTTGGAAATTTCTCGCGGTGAATTGTAACTTAAGTAAGAATTGGGTAACATTGCTGTAATCGAAGAACCCCCGTGAACTAGTAATTTGACAAGGGCACACTCACGAGACTGAAATGGCTTGACCGAAAAACGGCAGGTTGAAGCAGGTTATACGGTGTGAAAGTTTGTCCAAGATATAAAAATGGTAAACGGGAAAATACTATGTCCTTCTCTTCTCTTTTTAATATACCAATAAAGAAACGCATTTGAAAAGTACGGTTTTTCAATTGAAAAAGATCAAGATGTCGAGAAAGCCAATCTTTTACGTCATTCAAGAGGCATTTGTACCCAGATGATGTAACCGAGAACCAGTTTTTCATTTATTATTACCGGAGACGCAATCTCGTCGGAGTGACTAATGCGATCGTCTGTTTTTTTGGGGGATTTCAAGGTTTTCCGACGTACAATTATGGGTTAAACTAAGGGATAAAATGTGGATTCGGCTATGATCGGTGACAATGTTTCAAGACCTGGTCCGTCTCTTGCTTGTGGTTGTTTTCATAATTATTGTTCAACGAGGGAGCACACGAGATGTCAAACCAAAACAAGGCCAGTTTTTGAACGCAACGAAAACTCCAAACTTTTCTAAAAATGGATCTGCACATCATAATAACAAGTTCAGTGGGAACGCAACCAGTTCTAGTAAAAGTGTCCTCAAGACGCGGAAAAATCGAGGTATTTCATTAGCTGCGCTTGCGGGACTCGACCGAGCGGCTCTAGGTATCAACCCGCTCTCTGTGCCATATGGATCAAGGCTTGCTTCTTTGGGTTTTCAGCAAACCCCTACTTTGCAGCAGCTCTCGCAATACAGAGGGCTAGTTCCAACTAATGGATTGATCCAAAGCCCATCTGCTCTTAGACTTCCATACGGAATTCAACTTGCCAGACTGTTGCCTGCACTGAATATTTATCGAAATAGATTGCAATTTCCAACCAGTGCAGGAGGCATGGCCACCGACGTGCACGTTTACAAAAATCCCAATAGATTGAAATATGATTCTATTCCCCTTAAACCCTCCATCGAACAACAGGCGTTAATCGGGAACGGACTGACTTTACCCGCCTTGCTACAGCTGAACTCTGCCGGGGTTCAGGGTCTTTCTGACTTGTCAGATGAAAGTGAAGCTGACTTGGACGAGCTCGGTAGGTCATATCTTTTACGTTTTATTATTGTCACCCCATTTATATTTAGACTTGATTACCTTTCCTCTCTATAACAAATGGGCGATGACTCGATATCTGACCTCTTCTAAGTGAGGCTATTTTCCAAAAGCCTCAGGTATTTAGAAAAAAAAAATCAAAAAAATTTTCCTACTTATGAACGTTACACCGCAGAATGCCTCCCGCTATTCCAAAGATTAAGTTTGGAACTTTTTGCTCACTAATCCAGCCACCCAATCTACTATTCCTCAAATGAATACCAAGACAAGCCCGACCAATGATTCTATCATTAATTAACATATTACCACTTAAAGATGGTGCCAATTTCTGGTCGATTTGGCTTCATAATCTTCATTTCGATGATTCATTTTGAACGAAACGTGAGCCAAAGTATTTGATCCTGAAGATGTTGATTTAGCTTCTCAAGAAATCCTCACGACCCACCGAAATTTGGATTTGACTACAAACTCGCTTTCAAACACGACATTGGCGACGTTTCACCAGTGCCAGACGAAAAAACAGACAAAAACATCATAGCTTATGAGCTTTTCATTATAAGTTTTATAGAGGGGGATTGAAATGACGGAATGGCAAACATTGGAAGAAATAATAAGTTCTCACCCTTTTCAATAGTCTAATAAGAACTTAGAAAAGATCAAATTTATTTCACAGATTCACTGTATTCAAAAAGCCTATTTTTTACAGTTGAGTTTGTTTTGTCTTCTTGTTTTAAAAATGCATCTTGGGTTGTTGCAACGTTTTTGATAAGAAAAGTGTTCGATATCTCAGTCTACAATTTGAGAACAAACAAAAACACTATCCTTCAAAACAAGTATTTGTTTGGGTTTTAATTTAAGCAGTGACTGTTAATTACTATACCAACAACTAATCAAGGAAATTGGTTCAAGCTATTGACTTCTCTTCCATTATCAGGCTGTTTGTTATGGTAGACCAGACAGGAAAGCGATTTTCTCTATAATTTCCATATTCTTTCCTGCTTTCATTTCTTTCTTGGGTGTATATGATTTATTTGACATCATAGTTACCCTTGATCTTCGTTCAGTATTCGTGTCCACGACTCGTTTCAATTTCATTTAAAGGGAAGTTCGTGTTTCAGAAGAAATTAAATTGTCATCACGAAAACGATATGCTAATTCTGAAGATATTTTGGTCTGAGAGGTACGTTACGTCATCCAGAACACCCAAAATTTGATGTCTTGTTGAAAACATGACATGTTACCATAACAGCACCAGCAATCTTGATCCAAGAATCTTCTACGGGTGACTACGCGCTTCTGTTTTTCTTTATGCACTTGCTACGCACAGTTCGTTGACAGTGGACCTTGCTATAAAAACAAACAAGAACTTTACTTTCCAAGTCACCTAAATCAAACAATGTGAAATAAAAAGTTAGGGAAAGATTTCCACACAACCCCAGTTCTCCGTTGTACGCACAGTTCTTGGATAAAGGAAAGAATGGCGAAAATGATAGATTACCTTTGGGTCTACGGCTTTGTTTTAGAAAAGTATACGGGCTACATGAGAATCTCTCTAATGGTCCAAAGGTCGCATTTGTCAAAATTAACTACCATGAAAAAAACTCTACTGGGTAGGTTTCTGTTGAGACAAACAGAGCGATTTTCTGAAGTTGATACTGAAGAAACAAAGTCACCATTGTTCGACTGCAATCAATGCCGAAAATTGCAGTGGTAAATCATATTGCGCCAACCTGATTACCCACCCATCCCTCTGGAATATCTGGGTGGTTTGAATTTGTAACTGCGGGGAGTAAAAATAGACACAGGGACAGATAAACTGCACATTCAGAAAATAGTTTCATTTTCCTCATTACTTTTGTCGTGTACGAATTCTCGAAGGAAGGTAGCTTGCCATTATCAGTCATGGGAATTTATTCGGAGTTGAGAGGAAATCACCCAGTAAAAGCTTCGTCCAGTTATCTACCAAAATTCTCACTTATATTTTATATCAGACCCGACTTTACGCCACCAGTTTATCTTGTATGCTCTCTGCTGATATCTTTGGCTGATTTTCCATGAAAGTTTTATCATATCAGAAGATCAAGAAAACTCGTCTGATAGTTCTGGTGAAGAATATCAGTGGCTATAAATATAATTCAACCTCCATAGCAAAATTTTTACATTAACAACGGGATACTCAATGCATTTCTTTTAGGCAGGCAGAATACAGTTAGTTGCAAGCAGACTATGCGAGCGCAGTTCGTGTCAACCTAATATGCAAAGCTTAGCGAATGGAATCACGAGCAAATCGTGCGAATAACACGAAATACGGTCGGTTGACTTAAAAGTTTCCTTATCTTCTCAAGTGTTCTGTAACTAATAGTCCGTCGATTGGAACAAACGTCCATTAAGATATTGCGTGTTGGATCGACTACTTTGGATCCATGAAATAAAATAGAGAGCAATGATGATACTTGACGATATTTTTAATGAGATCATGTTCTGTCACTGCATCTCATTGATAATTCTATCAAGCCTCAGAATTTGCATGCTATTGATAAGCACAGTAGCAAAGGCGACCCTTTCACTCTCTCGAATACCTGCCCCAGTGTAGAATTAAAGTGTTAGGAAGATGATTGTTCGTATGCGAAAAAGCCGAAACTCGCGTATTTCCATCCACTGGAAATATGCCATGCATTCAAATGTGTGCAATCAGGAGTGCAAATCGGATGACCACTTTTACGCAAAAGTAAAAACATTTTATAACTATTGGTAGGGCTAAAATGGAACATTTTGTCAGTTTTCCAAGAAAACTTCTGTCGTTTGTTTCAAATGAAGGCATCTCCTTGTAGTGAAGCATGACTGCAAACATGGAGAGCAGCTCTGCTAACTAGGAAAGCCTTGGGGTTTCAATAAAAGCGATTCAAATGCAGTTTCAACTGTCTACCTACGCCCGAAAAAATCATTCGCCGCTGTCTCTTTGGCCAGAGTGCAGGCTCTTGTGCTTGAGTTTCGCTACTTATGACCGCTTGGGATAGAAAGATATTTTTTCGTCGTGGGACAAAGAGTCCCCATGAGGAATCCAACCTCAGACCTTCGGATTCCGCGTTCCGATGCTCTACCATTGAGCCACAAAGACTATGGTAGGCAAGGCCCATTGCGAAGTGTTTCTTTTATCTTTGTCCCACGCTCAATACATACCATCAACAACAACAACAACAACAACAATCTTTATTTGAACCCACTCTTGCTCAGAAAAAGTTACAACAAAGAGAATATTAAAAAGTATAAGTTAGAGTACTGGCTGCCTGAAATAACCATAGGGGCTAGCGGAGCCAGGCAACCGTCTTTCGTAATCTTTACGATTATGCCCGCGTATTACGCCTTCTTCAGCCGCTTTTTGTAAAAGTCTCATATGACCTGGTGTTCTGATATCGCTGCCAATTTGTTGTTTCGGAGCAAAAAGGTAACTTCCGTAAAAGTTATATGAACGCCTCATATGCAAAAGGCAAATATCTTTATTTTCTAATATAGTTTATATAGTTCTAATGAAAGCGAATAATTCTCTGGAAATTTTTTTAGGAGGTGTTTGTTTGACGAAACCCTGTCACAATGGTGGATCATGTGTTAATGTTGGCGAAACATTTGAATGTATCTGCAGAAAAGGTTTCACTGGGAAAAGATGTAAAGGTGAGCGAAAAGAGCAAGGAGCATGCTCCTCTTCCTTTTAGTCCAAGGCGTCTTCTACCTAACTCAGTTAACTGATATGGCACGGTTTGCCTCGGCCATCTCTCCTTTTGGAAAAACTTCTATATCTTCTATTTAGGAAGAAAGGCTGGTCTATTTACTAATCTGAGAGCTACCATTTGTTAATGCAAAATAAAAGCTAGCAACTGATGTTATTAACTAATGAATGTTCTTAGGGAACGAAACCTTAAGACTTCGACTTAACGCTTTACACCTTAACATCAGTATGCATATTTTCCATACTGTTCTCTTTACAAATCTTAAGAAGTTGGTGACTTTTTTTAACATTCAAGAGCTATTTATGGAGGTGAAAATTTCCTGTATTCTCGTGAGATAAATGTGTGATTCTGGGGTGATGTTTTAAGGAGAAACTAGATGAGGGTTTAAGGGCTTAAAGGTGTCGGTCTTCCTTGTTCGTCGTCTATTTTACTTCATGTTAAGGACATGTAAGGACAGTTTTTCAAATAGCCGAGTAAGTGTTGATCTCAGGCTCGTTGAATTCTGATATCAGATATATCAAAACCTTTTGACCGATCATTGCATCACTGTTTTTTTTCCAACAGAGTTTTTGCTACTGTACTTTGCCATGTTATTATTCCAGATTTAAATAAGAAATAGGGATTAATAGAACTGACTCATTAATTATGTATCTTCAAGGAGATTAAATTAACGAAATTCAAACGCATTTTAAGTTCTCTAACCTCCCGATATTTCCTTAAGATCGAGGTGACCCTCGGTCACAAATTGGTCTAATTACTTGGTAAGAGGCTTTAGACGGAAAAGTGACAACTCTCATTTCGCAGGATCTAAGATTTGTTTTAAAAGTGAAAGAGAAACTTGACGCTCCCTTTTTGAAAGTAACCCTTAATGAGGGAATTACTGATATAGGATAGTCTAAGCCGCTTTGATTAGTATAAAAACTGGCCTGGCTTCGCAGTATAGATGCTTGACTGCTTTTTCCTGCTGTACCGCCGAATGATTTCGCCAGTAAAATAATTGAGTTGTTAACTCTACCTTTGTGTGGTTGAGGGATAACAAATCCTCATCAGATTGATTGCAGTTCATAATAAGAAAGTGAAATTGAAAATCCTGCTAATTGCTATGTTTAACATTTACTATCCTCTACAGCAGAAATACGCGTAATTAATAATCCATAAACTGTCGTAGAACCAAATGTTTAAAATTAAGAAAAATATAAATGTACACAGTGAGAGATCATTACCCGTTGAAAAAAAACTTTTAAGTTTTGTTGTTCCATAGCAACAGCTAATATTTTTCAATAAAACAAAAATTGGATAATTACCTTTAATCTAATCTAAACTGAAAATTGTAAGAAAATTACATGGGGTTATGAGCATCAGTAAACACAATGAATAGGTCGTACATACATTTACTAAAACAGTAGCAACTGTAGCATATATAGACGCGGCTTTTTAAGGAATATCATGGAAAGATTTTCAAAATTAATAATTCTTGCTGTTTTTATCTCTTTTTTTCTCATTAATTTTTAGACTTTTATTTTTCGACTTCTGTTGATGGCTTAACTGAAGTCATCATTTCACACCTATCACAGTAATTGGCACTTTGATGGTTCAACGGTTGTATTTTCTTAAGCGTTCAAAGTGCAAACATGAAGCGTTTTATCACCTATATGGAACTTTGTGAGACTTGCACATCATAGGAAAATACATTTCTTATTGAGTTGCTTTTTGAAGGACGCAATTTTAATTTCTTCCAAGGAGAGTCAATTTCGAAAAGCTTTTGGTTATCAGCAGTACCATTTTCAATAGTAAACCAGAAAGTGCAAGAGTAATACTAAGGAGGGGAGGACAATTTCACGCTTGAAAATAGCGATGAGATTCCAAGAGGTACGATCTGAAAGTCAAGGTGGGCAGTGCTTTCGGGATTACGAGGCAAATCAGATTGATCCAATCTGATTACCAGAGATCACGAACGTTCAGCACCCAGGACACGTTCTGAATATCACCACCTGCCTGTATGTCCGCCCACGCGACGACTTTCGATCAACAAAGCGTTCACTCACCCGTCTTATTGAAACAGAAGGGTCGTTCTTAGCTCCTGATGTAATGAAAGGAGTTCAGTGAACAAACATGTGGCATGGCAAGTGTTTAGATCTCCGTATCGACAAATTTTACCATCCTTAAGGAAATTACATGCTTCAAAGATTTCTATTAGGTTTTCTGTTGTCCGAGAACATATGTAGGAAACTCGATGTTTCTCGTAGGCATTTTTCTGCTTACGGAGGTAGTGTTGGTGTCTGCTCAATTTTCTTTGGCGTTTTCTTCTCATGACGATCCAGAGCGAAATCCATGTTTGCCTAATCCTTGTCAAAATGACGGACAGTGTGCAGTTTCTGGCTCAAGCTTCGACTGTTCCTGTTCCCTTGGCTGGAAAGGGGAAAGATGTGAAGGTAAGCAAGACTTGAGGCCAGTATTTCTCAAGAATTTTGTTTTTTCAATAAGACTCGAATTTCAATAAAATTTCAATTTTCAATTATGTACAAAGAGCTAGATTTTTCTCTTCAACGGAAACGTTTGCCTTCAAACCGTGAAAATGCCATGGCCTCTTTTGCATCAAGCATATTTTCGTGTCAAAACAATTTGAATCGTCCTAGTTCATAATGTAGCATTTACTAATCAGCGACGAAAGCACAGACAAAGCAAGAATACCAGCTATTGTTTATTTTTTATTGTTTAGTGGACTGGGCGTCTCGATTAGGTTTTTCCAGTCACCTAGTTTTTGTAAGTAATTGCAGGTGGAGGTTCTCAAATGGATCGCTTGATCACGGACGTTATCTAACGCCAAACTGTTCAACTTATGAAAATAGAAAAATAGATAAGCATTCGTTGTTTCTGCTTCTTTGAACTAAGAAAATACACGTAGATCACTAACAGAAATCTTGTTGAATTTCCTTTTTGTAAAAGACCGATCGACCAGGCTGATATCTTGGGAACCACTCCAGTTGGTTCAAGTTTGTGGAAGTAACATATAAACATATTTTGTCCATTGTAAACATTTCAAGGTTGTCCAAATCTCCCTTTTAGCGATTGAAATCTCGGAAAACAGGGTAAAAATATATTTTTAAGACACGGTCCGGTAACTGAGCTGAAAATTACGCTAGAAGTAACAGTTGAATAAACTGATAAGACGTTCACCATACGAGCACAACACCCATCTGCACCACTAGCTAAACCAGGTGTCTTACCGACCCATATGAAAATATCTACAAGATCTACATTAAGATAAAATATTTAACTAGAGAAGCAAACTTTGCAAATCATCCAAACACTATGTACTTTTTTTGTTTTTTGTTTTTTTTTTTCATAGAGCCCAACAAATGCATTCCTAATCCTTGCATGAACGGAGGGTCTTGCACAGCGCTACAGTTTGATTATGAATGTACCTGTCCACATGGATTTCATGGGAAAAGCTGCGAAGGTAAAACTGTCTTTGAATTATAATTCAACAGGCGTTCTCTAAATTTTAAAGTAAACTATCAAACCGCATTTCTTTGAGAACATCCATCATGTTTAGATTTTTCTTCGTTGTACTTGCTTATTCATTCCTCGACAAGTTATCATTCAAGTATCTTGTTAATTAAAGATATCGGATGCTTTTTCATTAACTTCGGTGGAGAGAATATTTATTCCTGAAAAGAGAGTCTGATCTGTTTAGATACTGCCGTTTTATTTTACTCTATGATCTGAATAATTGCTCGTTCTTCGAATTACGCATTGACTATGATGTCAAGTAGAGAAAAAAAGCCAAGTTTGAAAGTTGCTATCAGTCCTCCAATGTGTAGCAGAAGAAAATAAACCAGTGTTTTTCGATATTTTTTTCTTGGCATCCCGTTGCTGATTCGTATACCGTTGTACAGTTCTATAACCGGATAGATTTACTTTTGTTCATAAATAACTATTCCTGGATGAAACGATCTTTGGAAATAATATAGTTCTCCTGAAGAAATTGCTGACAGATATTTACAAACTTTTGTAGAGAAACGGTCCAGTTGTTCTGAAAATCCCTGTCACAACGATGGACACTGCATCGAGGCATCAGGAAATTTTGAGTGTGTATGTAGATCGGGCTTTTCAGGAGTGACATGCGCAGGTATATATCAATCTTTCATTTTCCTCTCCATGATCAGTCAATATTCACCCTATGAAGCCGCTATTACTCTGTCAAGTCTTCCCAGGAAGTATAGACTCTAAATTATAAGTTACTAAAAACATTTTTCCTTAACGAGACCCAATAAGCTGACACAAGTTTTTGAATAAGCAAATGTGTCATAAAAACGCCAATTGAGAAAACTGATAAAGGTTTAGGAGGGTAAAAAACAGTTTAGTTGTCTTTAAAAACCTATTTTTGCTTTTAATTCAATAGAAGCATAATTACAATTTGCAGCCCCGGTAATCGTATCATAAAAGTTTCCAACATCATTTGAGAATCCATGACCTTTCCATAAAGGCAAGAAGTTACCATCACACCACAAGAGCACTTTAGGAACTTAGGAACTTAGGAGCCCCCTTGTTTTTTACTTCGTACCTTTGACGCCATATCAAGATTCATCTCTGTGAGAATTTCTACCTTAAGTTTTTTTTTTTTTTGGTGAGTACAGGAACGAAGAGGCTTATTGGCAGGCAGTTCATTTAGGATGGGGTCTTATCAGAGCTTCACTTTAGATGCTTTCTTCCCGTTACCTTGTTGTTGACACATATATCTTACATCATTACTTTCCAGTGACTCAGAACAAGTGTTTACAAAACCCATGCGAAAACGGAGGCACTTGCATTGACTCCATGGGTGGGGAGGGATATGAGTGTCGTTGTCCAACTGGATACAAAGGAGTCAACTGCGCAGGTAAAGTTAAAACGTCATTACTCTCTCGAATGCTGATCAAGGATCTTCATCAAGAATCGATAAATTCACGTAAAACTGAGTTCTTGGTTGCGAGCATCTCTCTCGTCCTGGCGGTCGAGTTGATTTAATCATATCATAGCTTCATGTGCGTAATTTATTAGCCTCAGTAGTTGGGTTACCTGTAAGCTATGCTATAAAATATGTAATATTATAAGTCTTGACTTCTGGCCTATTTCTGTCAGTGCTTATGAGGTTTCATCAACATCTAGATAAGGTGACTTATCCTATTGGGATCCTAGCCCATCGCATACAGCGACCTATGAAAGATAAGTTTTCTGTAAAGGTTGAGGATATTTATTTTTATTCCTGAACAGATAGAGGCAGCATAAGAGTTTAGTGCTTGCCCAAGAACACAACTTAATGACCCAATCAGTTTGCTAGCCACAAGGCAACTGCGTCTTCCACTCCCTATCGATGGACAGAAGAAAATGTTGTTTGTCCTGGGCTAATCTTTTTTTT